AAAATATTTGTAATAATAAAGAAAATACATTTAAAATGTTTTACTTGTTGTGTTAGTTATTTATAAGATCTTTCTATAATTGTTAGCTGCTTTACAATTTAGAAAGTACAATAGGTAATGTAAATTAAAATTAATTGAATATTTAACAACGTTTTGTTCGATTAAATTCATTTAATTATTAAAATAGTTAATTTAAAATTAGAATAAAGACAAAAAAAAAATAACAAAAAAAAATCGGTGGCGGGAATCGAACCTTGAGCGTCCGTTTGGTAAGTTGATTCAAAGGCTTATTAAAATCAAAATTCAAAATTCAAAGGCTTATTTCTTCGAAATTACTGATCATTTTGAAATAATACTTAGGGTTCGCATACCCTTATCGGATACTACTACTACACGGAGTTTCGTCAAAATAAAATATCTAGGTTAGGTATAATAAATTCATAATTAATAGACCGTTACGGTATCTGTATATATTCGGATCAAAACAAGTACTATGAAATAAGAACGAGTATATAAATTGATTAACACAAGTAATTGATTTTTGAAATATATTCAGAGCCAAAAAGTCTTCTTTCTTTATTTATGTACTTGTTAGATGCGACAGCGACTTTGTTTTATACTATACTATACTATACTATGTAATGATTGATATACCTAAAATAAATAAAATATCTGAGGTTTGGACAAAAACTCAAAGGGTAATTTATTTTGAAAAAGTATTTTGAAAATACCTATTTTGCTTTTAGTGTTATAGTACTTTAACTGTTATATTTTAAGTAACAATGTTTAATTATAATTAATACTACTGCACCAACACTCCGATCGTGCAAAAAATTTTGATGTTTCATTATTTTTTAGTTCAATTAGTGGTCTACCTAAGTCCTGGGCTAAGGGGGGGGGGGGAGAGTCATGACCCCCCATGACTCCCAAGACATCCATGACGCTCCCCCCTGGATCCGCCGTTGCGTCTTCTCTTCATTCGCTCAGTAACGTTGTTACAAAAGAAAAGATTCCCGTCCAAAAAATAACAAGTATTGAGGTTTGATCTGGAGTCACGTTACTCCAGACTGATTTCTATAAATATTTAGATTAGATAGACTATTATTCTTGAAATACTAGCTAGACATTATTAAGTTACTGTAGCCATAATGTAGTAGCCCAAACGTGCCAATGAGGAAGCCCTTGGCAAATGCTGCACCCTGATTGGCCCGTTTGAATTGGATCAAGAACTGCTCGTATGCCAAAAAGGTGGATTTGTATAAAATCGTGTATAAATCGCTTAATTATTATTATTACTCGTCGTGACAGTTGTGGCTCAAAACGGAGCAACATTTACATATGGTCATCTGGCATTAGATCAACAAAAGGCCTCCGGATCAACAAGTGAAAAAGGATCAACAAAAAACTACCTATACGGCACGTCTGAGCCACAAAGAGCCCAAGGGGAAATTTATATATACATATGTATATGTAAGAAGCGCTAATTATGGTGACGACTTTGAAGCCGGCTACCGCAAGGGAAACTCCAAGTAGCACCCGTGACTTGTGACACGGGTGTAGGTTTAAAAGGCCCTTTTAGAATGCATTAACACTCACCTTCACTACTTGCAGCCTCCCCCAGGCCCAACTAAGACCGGGATAAACCCGTCTCCAATACAATCCACTTTAGTGTTCGAAATACAACCGGCACGTTCTGTGCTCGTCGACTGAATGCCGTCGATTATTCAACGAAAGAGGATTATTCAACTACCGACTTCCGTATTTATAGTTTTAAAATATCGGATTTTTCTACAATATTGATGTGAACCCTAACATATATATATATATTATACTAGCTTCGCTCGCGTTAATTTATCCCCTTAGGGGTGGAATTTATCAAAATCCTTTCTTAGGGGACTACGTCTACGGGCCTACGTCAGTACCTTTATGCATGCAAGATCTCAGCCCAATCGGTTGAAAATTGACAAAGTTCCATACAAACTTTTATCCTCTTGGGGGTAGAATTAATCAAAATCCTTTCTTAGCGGATGCCTACGTCACAACATCTACCTGCATGCTAAATTTCAGCCCGATCCGATCAGTGGTTTGGGCTGTGCGTTGGTAGATCACTACGTCAGTCACCTTTCAGTTATATATATTTAGATACAGGGTTACTGGAAACTCGACGTATTCCCGTCATGGCGAGATAGAGGAGCTCAAATCCTCTATCTCGGGACGGGAATACGTCGAGTTTTCAGTAACCCTGTATATATAAGTTTCCTATCGTAACACACATATATGTAATATCGACCTAGTACACAGTTAATTAAATTCAAAATCCAACGCGTGGGGCGAGGGTCGCCCGTCCCTTAATGAGCTAATGTGTTTTGTATTTTCAATTATCAATTTATCACGGCCTGAAACGTGCTGAAAGGGTCCTTATTCAATTTTAAGGCCTTTAGTATTTGATGCAGATCGTAAGATTACAGACTAACAGATAAGAACTCAATTAATTAAGTATTATGCTTATTTATTTATTAAACGAGGTATGAATATTTAACGAGGTAGGAAACTACACTTGGAAAGTTTATACTATACTAGCTGTTCCCGCGACTTCGTCCGCGTGGAAGTTATCTAACTTTATTTTTCTAAAATAAAAGTAGCCTAAAGAACTAAAAATTATTTTGTTCGTCTTAATTTATTCGTTACATTAGGTACTGATAGGTTCAAACTAATACATTTACATCCTGCATCAATGCATATTTTATCCCCATGGGGGTTGAATTTATTAAGATCCTATTTAAGCAAACGTCTTCATCATAGTAGCTCCAATCTTTAAAAATCTAAGAAGTTCAATCAGTTGAAAATCTAAGAAGATTTATACAAACTTTCATCCCCTTAGGGGTGGAATTTATCAAAATCCTTCCTTAAGAGCAGCCTATGTCATGTAGCTTTATGCATACAAAGTCCCTGCTCGATCGGTTTAAAATTGACAAAGTTTCATATAAACTTTTATCCCCTATTTTTTCCCTGTGGGGGTAGAATTAATCAAAATCCTTTCTTAGCGGATGGCTACGTCATAACATCTACCTGCATGCCAAATTTCAGCCCGATCCGTCCAGTGGTTTGGGCTGTGCTTTGATAGATCACTACGTCAGTCACCTTTGAGTTATATATATTTAGATACTGAGGAGATAAAAACCATCGCTCCTAAGAATATCCTTCAATTCTTGTCCCTGACGGGTCTAAGTAGTGAACTCTGAAAAAGGGCGAGCACAATAGATCTATGTAAGTCGCAGTGCTACAGCTCTAAGCACCTGACAATAGCAAAACAACCCAATAAACAAAATTAACGTTTAAAGAGTTTTATGGGGTTTTATGGTACTCCACCGAGAAGATAGTCGCTTTTAAATTATGAATGAATTTATTGTATTCATTGCTATTCAACGGTATAACATTGAAGAGCAATTATAGTAATAAACTAACTGTACCGGCAAACGTTGTTTTGCCTTAAAATAAAATAAAAAAATTAGGGGTGGACTACCCCTAACATTTAGGGGGTTGAAAAATAGATGTTGGCCGATTCTCAGACCTGCTCAATACGCTCACAAAATTTCATGAGAATCGGTCAAGCCGTTTCGGAGGAGTATGGGAACGAAAACTGTGACACGAGAATTTTATATATAAGATACATAACCAATTACAAAACATATAACCTAAAGAAGCATTCGAATCTAGTACATCTATACATATAAATAAAATTGGAGTGTCTGTTTGTAATATTGAAATAACCGTTTTTTACTACATGCATATGAATATCAATACGGTATATACACCAAGGTGGACCGATGATCTGGTCAAGATCGCTGGAAGGCATTGGATGCGAGCAGCGCAGGACCGATCGTCGTGGAGATCTTTGGGGGAGTCCTATGTTCAGCAGTGGACGTCTTCCGGGCTGCGATGATGATGATGATGATATACACCAAAAAAACGTTTTTTACAATTTTTGTCTGTCTGTCTGTTTTTCCGGCTAATTTCTGAAATGGCTGGACCGATTTTGACGGGACTTTTTTTGGCAGGTAGCTGATGTAATAAGGAGTAACTTAGGCTACTTTTGTTTTGATGTTAACTTAGAATTCTTTTATTTAAAAAAAATAAAGTAATGTTGCAAAATTACATGCGGACGAAGCAGCGGGAACAGCTAGTAAATAAATAAGTGTTATACTTAACTAGCTACTCGCCTATTTACTTAAGTTCTGCTACTATTATAATTTAAATACTGCGATACAATTAAAAGGAAATGCCCAATAAGTTGTCAAAGATGATCTCCAATGAACTCGTGCTACCATCTGTGTTGCATTTTGTATAATTATATTTCCAGCTTGTAAACAATTATAGTATCTATTTCAATTTAATTTAATTTCATTTGTCATATAATGACACAATTGAATAATTTTAGTTTTTACGCCATCTATCGTCGAGTAGTAAAACTATAAAGTAACAATAAATGTTAGTTTAGCAGCACCAAAGCTTACGAGCTTTCGTCAAAATGAATTAAAAGAACATGTATAATTAAATAATTAGTTTAAATACTCACATTTAATTTTACGTGTTGTTAAGTTTATAAATAATAGTATTTTTGTATATTTGCTTGATTATGACAAACTCTGCTGTTATTTAATAGTATAGAATAACGAGGAGCATAACTTGGGCTTTTGTTTATTTTGTTTTTAGCGGTATGCTCAGGGTAGTGACCGGCTCGACCAAACTCGCTTTATATCTCGCCAGTCAGTTGTTTTCTGTCTGTCGTCGTTGTACTACGTCGGGTGTGTTCTCGAAGTTTCTTTCGAACGTAATTACGTTGAACAAATTAAAACGAAAACATTCTGAATTAAACGTGCAAAGTTTTGTGTTTATAATCACGTTCATAATTATTTTTAATTACTTTGTCAATAAGTTTTGTGTTTTTGTTTACGCTCATAATCATTTTTAATCACTTTCACGATAAGTTTTGTGTTTATAATTAGTTTTAATTAGTTGTACGAAATAGATTGTTTTTTACATATTTTTCGTGTTTGTCGGCTTCTCGCGTTTTCTGTGGTAATTTACGTGTGGTGTGGTGTGATGGTGTAGAATGTGGTACCGGTGGTTGGTGGTGACGGTGCTGGTGGCAGCAGCCGCTGGCAAGGGGAAGAAGCATCGCCATCAGAAACCTGGTGAGTCGAAATTTCACTCTCAGACCCTTCGGATCGAATCTCCGTCGAATTCAAACGGTGATCGAAATTACGACCGAGGTTGGTATCTCTAGCGGTCTCCTCAGAGTCGTATCCGTCAGGCAGAAGTTGTCCTGCAGCCGCTCCATAAGTCCTTCCGAGGGCTTGGAGTATCTGCACTCGCCCTCTATTGTCCAGTGAAGCTGTAAAGGACAGCACCAGCCAACAACATTAGACTAGTCCGAAAAATTCTCTGACAGGATTTTTAGTCTTACTAAAATTATTACTTTCATCAAATTTTTTTATACTATCGTATGGGATTATTATTTCGATAAAATAATTCCCGCGTTTTCTTCTGAGTGATTTAAGTTGTTTAATTACTTTCTTGATAAGTTTTGTGTTGTTGTTTACGCTCATAATTATATTTAATTAGTTGTTATTTCGTAAATACTAGAGTATTATAATTACCGGACTAAATCGCCCCGTTAAGTGGGTCAAATCAAATCAAATCTAAAATTATATATCCATTAATGACATTTTAGCCGTGTATGAACGTCAAGTAGGTGCTTAAAACCATTTAAGTTAGATTTGAATTTAAAAATATATAATATATATATATATTGTTGAAACATTATTGATTATATATTTTCCTATGAGAATAAGATATTATGTTATATTTAAGTATTACGTGTAACAGCTTTCATCACTTAACATCAGGTGAGATTGCGGTCAAACGCGCTCAAATTTTAATATATAAAAAAAAAAGTAAGCGCTTAAAGGTTAGTAGGTCGCAAAATCGCAAATCTCTTAATGACCAGAACAAGAGTAAACAATGAACCTTTACGATCAGAACAAGAACAGAGCACAGCCAGAAATATTATAATTACACAAAAAGTTTTTAATGTCACCCAGATTTGAATTTATGACTTACTATGTAGTAATAAATCACTAAGCCACAACACTCTCATGTAACTACTAGTAGTAAAAATATGCATTTATTAAAATACTTCTCAAGTTCTCACCTCTACCTTGATGTTATAATAAAAATTAAAGCAACTTGGGTAAAAGAAAAAAGGCAGATATTGAACACAATAGAAAATAGACGAGGAAAAATGTTAGGACACTTGATACGGCACGAGGATTTCATGAAAATTATTATTGAGGGGAAAATAGAAGGAAAGAGGGGGAGGGGAAGACCAAGGAATAGCTACATCAAACAAACTGAGGACAAAATGGGAGTCGTGTCGTATCAAGAATTAAAGAGCATGATGGAAGATCGCGGAAAGTGGCAAGAGCTCCACCGACAAGAGCGTAGCTCTTAAATTATGAATGAATGGGTTACTCTCATCACAAATAAAAGGGTGGTACTTAAAAAAAGGGATTTCTTGAGGCGGTATCTCATTATCATGACATCACATTAGCGGCGTGGTTCCGGGAAATGTGAAGAATGCAACCCGCATTACCCGTACTACGTGACCCGGACACCGGACACCGGACACCTTTAGTGTCCGGCTTGAACTTCAATCCGGGATGTCTATATTCTATATCTTATTAAATATTAGCTGTGCCTGCGACTTCGTTCGGGTGGATAGCATATTTAATAATATAACTCTAAAAAGCGCTATAATAAAAAAGTTTAAAAAATTTCAAATATTCATACAAACTTTGAAAGTAATTTATTTATATTATATCTATAAGTTTCAAGCTTCTAGATTTAAAAATTACGATTCTACCTAATAACCTTTCATAACCTTTCATCTCCCCTTCATCAACCCTTTTCTGCATTGTTTATCTTTTGTCCATTCGTCTTGTGATGAATCTGCACTCCGAATGAAAGAAAGTAAGAAAGAAAGAAAGAAAATTATTTTATTCAGTGCAATGTAAAAATGAGTGGTAGAATAAAAAAAATGTGACTATTCAAAAGTGTTTATATTAAGTTTATTTCAATAAAGATTATTTATATTTCATTGCAATTTTTTTCACATTCTTATCTGGCATTGATTTTTTGTAAATTTCTAACTGTAGTAAATTTAGTGTTAAAAACATAAAGCAAAAAACAACAAGATGACCGCTGTCCTAGACCCCTTGCAGTTTGTCATAGACCCCTGGGGGTCAATATAGACCACTTTGGGAATCACTGGTCTAGACTATCTGTGTAACAAATTTGATTTAAGTCGGTTCAGTAGTTATGGCGTGAAGGCGTGATAGAGTTACTTTCGCATTTATAATATTGGTAAGGAAGTAAGGATGTGGTGTAAGGTATAGATTCAATAGATTTAGATTTATTAGAAACTACTAAACGCCTAACAGTCGATTCTTTAATTTTTTAGTTTATTTAATACTTATTCGGCTATTCGAGACGTATTTCTATTATCTCACTAGCTGACCAGCTAGTAAGACAAAAGAAAGTTAATAAGTCAATAATTACATTATGTCAAAAACTAAAATAATAGAAAAAAAACTAAAATTATTTTAATAGTCAATACAAAATTACACTTTCACAGTTTTTATTACGGTACCTACATATTATATTTAATTTTATTTGTACTTATTCGAAATTAAGTTTTATTTTTATTGTAGTACTTTACACGATATTTTAAGAAAGGTGTTACATATGAATGTGGATGGTTATAAGGGCAGAGGAAGGCCGAAAAAGAGATGGATGGACTGTGTGAAAGATGATATGGTAAAAAAGGCAGTAAATAACGCGATGACTCCGAACAGGGATGAATGGAAGCGAAAAACATATTACGACGATCACAAATAAATGGGATAAGGAAGTAGCAGATGATTTTATGATACATGATATTCTTTATGTGAATAATGGCATCTTCATCAATAGTAGGTCTATTTTTTTTTTTATTCCTTTTTCATTTTTTTTTTTTATTTTTTTAAATGTCCTGCACATTGGCCCACAGACTATATGAATAAAGAATTTTTAATTAATACAATTTGAACACATAATGACCTTGGAAAACGTCCGCACCTACTTCGGATTTGTCATTCCGTAGATGATAAATCATCTCTCCCTGTGTTATGTGAGACCAAACGGAATATATGAATCATTAGAGTCTGATTCTGAAAGGGGTGTTTTTTTATTTTATTTAAGAAGATTTAGTTACTCCTTGCGCAGGGGCCATGCTAATCTTCTCTGTATCGTTCCAATTTTAGTATATGTACTGCCGAAGCAAGTAAATAGCATATATATATATATATGTATATATAAACATAAACTATTTATTATGATAAACACCTAGTGAAACACAACTAGCCCTACGAAAACTTCTGCTGTATCAAATCGCAGCTAAAGTCAATACATGTTAATAAAAAAATAATAATAATGTCAGTGAAGCAAAAAAAAAAAAAAAAAAAAAAAAAAAAAAAAGATTTAGTTACTCCATATGCTTCAGCGTTTGCGCTTATGGTTTACGCTCGCTTCAGCAGAGGTTTGAAAAGAATTTTTATATTTATGTTTTTCTTAGGAGTGTAGTTTGAGATATATTATTGAAATATTATGTTATTTTTATATATTATATTATTATGTGACATATTGATTTTATAAGTAAAAGAAGACAATAGAACAATAAGGATAAACAAAACTAAAGAAAGGGGTATTGGATTCGTAGTAATTAATGGCTAATGTAGCTATACATAAAGTCTTAATTAGTTTAAATATTAACTTTCTGTATTCCTGGGGAAGCGTAACCTTATATATCCTAACAATGTTATAAATGCGAAAATAATTCTGTCTGTCTGTCTGTCTGGCTTTCACGTCAAAACTACTGAACCGATTTAAATGAAATTTGGTACGCAGATAGTATAATGCGAAAAAAGGATTGGGGTTATTAGAGATTGAAAAAAAGATGAAAGGCTGTATGGAAGGATCGTGATTTTTAAAGCTAGATGCTTGATATTTATTTTTAGATTGTTGATTAAATTATAAATAAATACCTATGACCGCAATATAAATAAATATACAAAGTTTTAAAAAATGTGTCTGAAGCTAGAACGATGAAACATTATTATTTGTATTTTTTAGGTCAGATTATTTTTTTTTTAATTTGATCAAGGTCACTATTCCACGCGGACGAAGAGCGGCACAGCTAGTATATATAAATTTTTTGTTTTATTTATTTATTAATTTATTTCAGGCAACTAGGCCCATATTATAAATACCTTGTAGACTAACATACATATAATATAATATATAAAAACTAATACAATGATATTGTCTGTGTGATCACGGCACTGAAGACGGCAATCTGCCACGGTAGCGCCGATATACCACACCTTTCGGCCAGTAGTCCTCTTTCATGAAGGTGGGCAGCGAGTTGGTGGGGACCAGAGCCACAGACGCTTTGAAACTCGCGTTGTGACTCGACTCCAGCTGCGTCACCCTCAAGAGTAACCTGACAGGTTACTCTTGGTACGGTACGGATATATATAATAGACAATGTCCTGCTACTTAGTGGCGTAATGTAGACGCGACAGGTACATTACCAAGGTCGGTGTAGCAGCACGCAGCAGATAGTTGGGCCCAGTGAGTGCAGTCCCGCAATTGTTCCTATTGCCCCTGTTTGTGCATCTCTTCTTTTGTATATGCATACAAAAGAAGAGGCGCACACTTACTTTATATATGCATACTAGCTGCCCCTATATATATACCCCCTTCCCCACCCCCGCCCCCCTGCTTCGCACTTGATTCACTCATATATTGCTAAAGGTTAAAAAATATTAAAATTCGTTGCATAGTTTATAAGGTCTAAGCGAACAGACATATAATGGTTGTTAATAATTAAAAACCTTTCTTTTTGATTAGCAGATTTAATCTACTACTATCAACTAATGTGTCATTAAATAAGAGACTTAAATGTTTTAATGATATTACAAGCTGTAATTATAAATGTATCGGATTAATGAATTCGTCAAATCCAGCGGACAGGTTATAACTTGTTCGGTAACGATGTCATCGCCGCGATTTTTTACAATTCCAAAAACAAACCATCGATTGACAAAATGCCTATTGAATCTAGATAGGCGTAACCTCAAAATAATGATAGGTACAATAACGGGCCACTGTCCCTTAAATAAACACCTGTACACAATGCCTGCTACTGTCAGTCCCCTTTGTCGGGGCTGCTTTGAAGCCGAAGAAACGGCTGCTCACGTAATCCTGGAGTGCGTAGCAGTGGCCACACAACGAAAACAAATCCTCGGAACGGTGAGGTCGCTTCGTGAAGCCTGTGAAGACACCAGGAGACTTCTGCGCTTCTGGGAGCAGCTTGGCTGGCTACTTTAGTAAGTCTGGCTCTGCACGCACAACGGTCCAGATGAGAGTCTGACTGCAGAGAATGGTGTCCAACTTACATTACATCACTCGATCTATTAAAAAAAAGTGCTTCAAAATGCGTTGCGTAGTTTTAAAGATTTAAGCATACATAGGGACGGACAGACAGCAACAGCGACTTTGTTAAAGTGATGGTTGTTAATAAAAAAAATCGTTCTTTTTGATTAGCAGATTTAATCTACTACTATCAACTAATGTGTCATTAAATAAGAGACTTAAATGTTTTAATGATATTACAAGCTGTAATTATAAATGTATCGGATTAATGAATTCGTCAAATCAAGCGGACAGGTTATAATTTGTTCGGTAACGATGTTATCGCCAGGATTTATAGGTCGTTACCGCACCGCGAACGCTTTCCTAACGTATATTTCACAATTTTGAAGGTATAACTCTTTGATCCCTTTTATATAATTATATCAAGTTTCAGTAATTTAAAAATCCCCTTCCCGATGCTCCGATATACTCCAGTCACAACTGGGCACATTTTAATAGAATATAATATAATAAAGATACATTCAAATTCCAAATTCGTATTTAAAAATAAATCTGTATTATTGTAAACATGTACAATATTTATTTGAAAAGAATACAAGCTGAAGAGAAGAACTGACAAGAAATCAGTTCTTCTCATATCGAAAATATTCCGAACTGACGGTAGATTTGACATAGAATAGAATAGACTAGAATAGAAAATCATTTATTCAAATAATTAAGCACTAATTACAGCACATTAATTAATTTAAGCACTTTTGAGTAGTCAAAAATTTTTTTTTAAATCTACCGCTTATTCGTAAAGCTGTCATCACAAGAAGAATAAGCAAGAAACTTGTGTGTTGCTCTTTTAAACAATCCTTGTAAGTTCACATTTTACAAGTCGAAACGTGTGAATACAAACTATCAACCAGCACTAATATATTTAGGCTCAAATATAAAAACACAATAAGATTAAATCAGTCGTAGTGATAAGAGCAGACTAGTCCCTATAAACAGCACTCGTTCACGAGGACGACGGATGAGCCAGCCATCACTGCGCTCGACCATATTTTAGGGAGCCCAATGACCCGGCCCACCACGCCGCCACATGTCGGCACATATCATAAGAGTCTGTAATAGACATTAATATATTTATTTTAAATAGAATTACACGCAAGTATATGCTCTTTAAAACATTGTTGTAATTTTCTATTTTTAAATGGAAATGTGTGCATAAATTTTATAGATAATGAAATCATAGTTAAATTTCGTGTTTAGTAATTGAAATGTGATGTAACTAAATATCATACAGCTTGGGGGGAAGGCGACTGTTAGTAACATTCTACCTATCTAGGACTAATTCCATCACTGATCCCATTGCTAGTAAAGTGCCATGTTAGATTGACCTCCACGAGGTTACCTGTAAAAACCATCGAGATAAATTCCTGTAGAATTTGCCACAATCGGATCTGACCTGACCTCATGCTCGTCTTATACTAGTAAAGTGCCATTTTAGATTGACCTCCACGCGGTTACCTGTAACAACCATCGTGATAAATTCCTTTAGAATTTGCCACAACCGGATCTGACCTGACCTCATGCTCGTCTTATGCTAGTAAAGTGCCATGTTAGATTGACCTCCACGAGGTTACCTGTAAAAAGCATCGAGATAAATTCCTGTAGAATTTGCCACAATCGGATCTGACCCGATCTCATGCTCATCTTATCATCCTTTAATGGTGCCCCGCCAGCGTAGACCGTTGCACAGGCGGGGCACCATTATCAGGCATAAAAACATATACCATATCAGATCGACCTCCCCGTGAACCTCCTGGAGACTATTGTGTTAGTTGCTTTTTAAACTCATGTACATTATCATCTTGCACTGGTGCCCCGCCAGCGTAAACAGTTAGCGCAGAAGGGTGCATCCTATTAATCCATTATAAAGGCATTTATTGGCTATTCATAAATTATGTCACAGTCAATACAAAGTTATGTTACTCATTTTGTGGTCAAAGATATGTCTGGGACACGCAATCACGCGGGACTACCGTAAACCAACGATTTCTACATTAAACCGAACGACCTCTAATTAAAACAACATTGTACCATAGACAATCTATTTTGTAACCGCTAGACAATTGTAGACGGATTGACAGACAGATCTCGCAACTATACATATAGAATAGAATAGAAAATCATTTATTCAAATAAACTTAATTTAAGCACTTTTGAATAGTCAACATTTTTTTAAATCTACCGCTTATTCGGAAAGCTGTCTCATCACAAGAAGAATAAGACTTGAAGTAAAAAAGTAAAAAGAAACTTGTGTGTTGCTCTTTTAAACAATCCTTGTAAGTTCACATTTATATAAATATGTGTATAGATGTGAGTATGTATATCTTTAGAATAAATTAACCGTATTTTTCTTAGTTCTTGTTCTCTATTCACATTTTTCTAGTGTTTCTTTAATTGACCGGGTCGGGTTGAACTCCAGTTCAAGCTAAGATACCTTACCAGGTACAGTCTCGATCCCGGAATAATACCCAGATTTTACTATTTATTTTTTTATTAATATAAAAAAAATTAAAATAAAACTTTGGTCGACCTATTATTTAACGGTATGAAAAATAGTTTACATCTCACTAGTAGGCGTCTACCAAATTTGGCTAGGTAGGGACAGAAACACAAGTTTTGAAGTATGAAGGATTTTTTTATTAATAAAAAAAATTAAAATAAAACTTTGGTCGACCTATTATTTAACGGTATGAAAAATAGTTTACATCTCACTAGTAGGCGTCTACCAAATTTGGCTAGGTAGGGACAGAAACACAAGTTTTGAAGTATGAAGCAAAGGGCCTTAAACCGACAC